GAACTAACGTCGTAACGTGTGGAGTCCACATGCCATCCATCCGTCGTCGCCTGTTAATTCAAGTCGAGCGATATCCAAAGGCAAGAGAAGCAGGAAGAGTAATAAATGCTCGCGGGTAGGAACTTAATGCGACTCTGTGTGCTCACGCTCTTCCTCCCGACGCCGTGCTCTCGAAGTAAGTGATCGATCTCTAGGCACCGGAGATGAGCTCAACCTCGTGGTGGCGGGGGCCACCGCCAGCCCAGCACCACCCACCGCCATGAAATTGAAGTCCGGCGGAACCTTCTTCTCCTCCTCCTCCTCCCTCATCACGACAGCTTCCTCGCCATCAACATCAACATCAACATCATCAACTTCAAATCTATTCTCTCTTCTGCTTTTCGCATTGTCTTGTGTTCCCGCTAGAGTTGATAAGATACCGCTGATTACACGGTCTCGTGAGGTTTCGGTAGAGAGAGAGGACCGACACTGGTCGAAACGAAAAAGGCTGTACGCAGATGGTTGCACACATTCGTGACAAAATGTCTCATGATATATAAACGAGTACGGCGTCCTGTCCGAGTTGACAACTCTTTTCTGATTTACAACTTTATGGAACAATCTACTATAGAAAGTCGCTGCCTTTGTCGAGCATGCCTCGTGCTAAAAGCCTACAACATTAACATTAAGCAGTAGCAGTAGCAGTAGCAGTGCAGCGATCGGATTCCCATGGAGGACACACAGCTCTTGCCACCCGACTGCGGTCCCCACTCCGCAAGCAGCAAACGCTTGCGATCGAGCGAGTTCTCCTTTTCTTCAGCCCCACTCCTCGTCTCGCCAAGCAGCGCAGGAGGGGGGGGGGGGGGGGTTCGCTTTGTATGAGCCACCAATAGTTGTAAGATTCTGAGCAAGTTTTGTGCTTGTACGTTTTGCAAAAGACAACACGATGGGGTGGCATCTCCAAATCACATTTGTTACTGTCAGAATGATGCTATCTTCTCCGAGGCGGAAGAATCCGAGGCGCGATCGAACACCTGCTCATGGAAGCTCACAAGACGGGTATCACGTGACGTGTGTCGGTCAACTTATGTGCGGTGAGATAGCATGCCTGATCCACGGATCGATGTCGGGAGTCTTTGGTCGGCTGAACCGGTTGCTGTGGTCGGTCGAGCCCTTGCGATGGGGTGTCGGCACCGGGATGTTGGGATGTTGATCAGCATCTCTCGGTCCGAATGCCGGTTAGTGGCTCGATGTCTGGATGCTGGTCGATGACTCCAAGGTCAGAACGCTCGTGGCTCGAGGGTGGTCGCTTTCCTGCAAGAATGGCCTTTCGTCGGGTGATTGCCAACTGTGGCTCCTCCGACGAGCAAGTCAGTGGTGTGTTGATATGCTCTTTTGCCTCTCCCTGGTTCGGATGCCGACCCGAGGTTTTTATACTACTGTACGAGGGTCGATCGTACGCGGGTTTGGCGTGGTGATCGATCCTCGAGAGGTGAGATGATACCTTCATGCGGTCGTCATCCCGGGCTTTCGAGGACGGGACGTACCGAGCAACGCCTTGATACGGATTCTAGCTTGGCGCGTGGGGGTGCTCCTCTTGCTGACATGATTGTAGCATAGTATAGTGTCGATCGTGATGAGGCCTGGACCCAAAATATACCTTATCACTTCCCCCCGTGGTTGTATTGATTGCTTGTGAGGGGAAGCCGGATTGGCTCGTCATGAGGCAGTTCTGGGGTGATGCCTTATGCTTTGGGAAGGATTTGCACTATCCATCGGGTGGTTGGGCCCATGCAGGATGATGTTGGCGAGTCATTGGTCAGGAGACCAAACTATGTGAGGGAGGAGATGATCTGTTGGCCGAGTAACTGATCTCGGGCTCAAGCTTATGGCCGGTGAGTCGTTGACCAGGAGACTGAACTGTGTGATTCGGGAGGAGATGACATGTTGGCCAAGTAACTGATCTCAAGCTCAGGCTTGTGGCTGGCGAGTCACAAGTCAGAGGACCAATCAGGCATGACTCGAATAAAGACTAGCTAGTCGCAAGTTAGGAATTGATTTGGCACGACTAGGATGAAGACTAGGCCTGTAGGTCGAGGATTTGCACTCAGGCTCAGGCTGGACTAGCGAATCGCAAGTCGGAGGATCGATCTGGCGTGACTCGGATAAAGACTGGCTAGTCGCAAGGCGGGAACCGATCTAGCACGACTAGGATAAAGACTAGGCTTGTGGGCCGAGGGTCTGCACTCAAGCTCAGGCTACACTAGCGAGTCTCAAGTCGGAGGATCGATCTGGCGTGACTCGGATAAAGGCTGGCTAGTCGTAAGTCAGGAACCGATCTGACACGACTAGGATGAAGACTAGGCCTATGGGCCGAGGGTCTGCACTCGGGCTCAGGCTAGACTGGCGAGTCACAAGTCGGAGGATCGATCTGGCGTGACTCAGATAAAGACTGGCTAGTTGTAAGTTGGGAACCGATCTGGCACGACT